CCAGAATGAATGCAGTACTTCATCCGAGTGAAACGTCGGACGTGTCCATCTCTGCATCGATAAATGCGAGCAACGTCATTCTGAATGATCGGTCCGGCGTGCTGAACAACGTATGCACGACGCAAGATCAAGTCGGATACGCACACATCTACATACATACTCACATCTACATTTGAACATCTGTTTACGTGCATGTATATATATACATACAGGTACGTACGGTTGTGGAACACACACACACCATTGTTGTATGCATACGAACACATACTGCAAAGTAGGTGCCCCGTTGCATTCGTAGGGTATGCCCTTCTGTGCAGTGTGTTCCCGCTCAGCGTAGATCCGTGCGGGCTGCCACTCTTCGCCGACACGTGCGCGCCGCGATTCTTACATCGATGAACCGGTGATCTTCCAGTACCTATCAATATATGTATATATATATATATATATATATATATAAATATCTAGACATGCCAATACGGCTAGTCGTGTGGCCGTACGATTTGGTAGCTGTGGCCATCAGGAATGGCGCATGACCAACACGTTCTCGGTTTCGAGCTTCCTGCAACCTGCCCGCATTCCAAAGCACATATCCGTGTAAAGGAAGGGCCATGGCAGGGGCGGCAGAGTAGGCAAAACATGGGACGGGTCGAGGGGTGCGGGGAAGGAGGGTAGAGGGGGAAAGGAGGATGGGATGGGGAGGGAGAGGATGTGATGAAGAAGGGGAACGGGACCGGGGAGGGGATGGCAACGGTTGCGAGGGGGTGAGTACAGAGGCGACAAGGAAACAGATGACAAGGATGGGATAGAAGGGGAGGGCATGGCGGGGATTGGATAGAAGGGGAAGGCACAGCGGGGCGAGGGGAAGGGAAGGAGAGGGAACAGGAGCTCGGGGGGGGAAGAGAAGGCGAGGTGCGGTGGGCGAGGAGGGCAAGGCAGGTGGGGCAATGATACAGCTGGCTTCTGTCGGCGGCGAGCGAGGGGTGTACTGAGAACGACAAAGCCTTCTCAGAAGGCGGCGGGACTTCTCAGAAGCCATCGCGCCTTATGAACAATTTTGTGTGTCTTCGGGGGAAACAAAGAAAACTGCTCAGAAGGCCGGGAGACTTCCGAGCTCTCTGAGAAAGCCCGCCGCTTCTCGCTTCCCCCCCGCGCCCGCCGCCGATTCTTCGTCAGCTCGGCCGTGCACGCCCGAGGTGAAAGAGCTGCCGCAGATCGTGGACCTCTGGCCTGCGGCAGCCAGAGCGACGACCCCACCTGACGGCCAAGAGGGCCTCCAGAGGGCACCGCAGAGGGCCAGGCGGGGCCCCCACGTGGCCACCAGAACCCAGGACGGCCCAAGCTGGCCTCTGGTCCCCCTCCCCCCCCTCCCCCTTCCAGGAGCAGAGCAGGCGGGCCAATGCTGTGACTGCGGAGGAAAGGAGGCGCCATGCTCAACAACCTCGGCTCTGCACGAGTGTTCTCCTCCGTCCCCCGGCTTTTTCCTCCTCCATGCCCTCCTCCTGCCCCTCCTCTCCACCAAGCTCCAACCTCTCATTCCTCCGGCGCCTTCTTAACGCCTCTCTTCCTCATTCCGCCGAACTCCCCCCCCCCGTTTCCCCCACTCTCCTCCTCCTCCTCTTCTTCCTCCTCCTCCCCTTCCTCCGCCTCCTCCTCCTCCTCCTCCTCCTCCTCCTCCTCCTCCTCCTCCTCCTCCTCCTCCTCCTCAGTCGAGAGGAACCTTTTCCTCCCTCGCAGCTCACGCCGAGCCGCTCCACATCCGGCGCCCTCGGGCGCAGGCCGCGCTCCCTGGCGCGCAGCCTCCTGCTTCAGGCCTTGAGCCAGGGCAACAGCAGGTCGCCGTCGCTGCCCTCGCTCTCGCTCCCTTCGTCCAGCACTAGCCGCCAACGTGCTCCGGAGAAGCGTTTCCGGAGCACGTTGGACGCTTCTCGACATCCTCCTCCTCCTCCTCCTCCTCCTTCTCCTCCTCCTCCTCTCCCTCCTCCTCCTCCTCCTCCTCCTCCTCCTCCTCGTCCTTCTTGCCGCATCCCCCGTCCGTGTACGAAAAACTCGCCGTGCTCGCGCTTCCAGTCGCGTGGGTCCGGAAGCGCAGACTCTCGATAGAGGGCGCCCTACTTTCAAGATGTATTTCTCGCGTGAGCGCCGCGCGTACTCGTCCTACTCGTGCCAGGACTATCGCACATGGCAATCGACCAAATTTCAAAAGGTTGGTGCTGCCTTCGCGCCATGCGCGTTTGTATCAAGAGAAATCGACCTATGACACGGAAGGTGGGCGGCTGTTTGTCAAAATGAAAATCTCGATGCGGATGTTTCTCGAATCTTACGCTGCGGGCCTGGACATTTAGGCGCGCGCAAAAGACCGCCCGATCCGCTGCCCCTCAAAGGAGGCAATCCCCATCGCAACTCCGCTTAGCAGGGGCGACCGCAAGGCGCTCAAAACGAATTCGCGCAGCGGCCCCAGTCTCGGATGAAGAAAGAACGAGCCGGCAAGTAGTAGATTGCGCAACAAACTCACCCCAGTCTGGCCCGAAGGGAGCAGCCGCAAGTGAGGGAGAGGGCGATGGGGATGGAGGGGGAGAAGGGGCGCGAGGGGAGAAAGAAAATACACGAACGAAATGCAGCAATGTACCCGCAATCGACCTTCGACGTCCAGTCGTGGCTGATGTAACGCAGGGCGTATTCGGTCACCAAACATAAGGCCTACATTGAAGGAGCCAACGCGTCCACAACTGGAGTCAAAACATGCCATGCGACAATACCCGTGCAAAGCAAGACAAGACAAGAGGAGGGAGGAATCGGACCGCTAACACTCACGCGTGCGAAGGCCGACCTTGGAGGAAGGCACCCGCACAGAAACGCTCAGAGCTGAACGGCGCGATCTCGCGAAAATCTGGCACCGCACTCGTGGCGGGCATGGCGGAAGCCAAAATAACAAATACTAGAACGACCGACGGCGCGGCGGGCCCCCCCCACTTCTCAGTGAGCTGCAGCGAAGCGAATGCGGCAAGCACGTGGGGTCCATGGCGGGCTGCGATCTGCGAAAATGTCGCCACTTTCGAGGGCTGCTGGTGGGTCCAGCGGAGTGAGGCACCGCGCAGACCTGAGCGAGACCTCGCCGTCCCTGGGGGGCTGCGATCTGCGAAGCCTTCGCCCCTTTCGAGGGCTGCTGGTGGACTGCCGCAAGAAAGAGAGAGAGAGAGAGACCAGCTGCAGCGAAGCGCATGCGGCAAGCACGTGGGGGAGTGCCGCAATAAAGAAAGCAAGAGAGAGAGAGAGAGAGTCACTGTTTGCGTGCATGCCTTCCAAGAGTCCAGCGTCCACCACCAAACCGTGACTATCGCTATGGCTGCGAGCGTCGCGTGGGCCGCAGTGATCTGTGGCAGAAAAAGAGAGACAGAGAAAGAGAGAGAGAGAGAGAGAGAGGAGGAGGAGGAGGAGGAGGAGGAGAGGAGGTGGAGGAGGAGGAGGAGGCAGAGGAGGAGGAGGAGGAGGAGGAGGAGGAGGAGGAGGAGGAGAGGAGGAGAGGAGGGAGGAGGAGGAGGAGGAGAGGAGGAGGAGGAGGAGAGAGAGAGAGAGAGAGAGAGAGACAGAGAGAGAGAGAGAGACAGAGAGAGAGAGAGAGACAAGCCAAGACCGCGCCCAGCAAGGGCGGAGAGGGGCCGGGCCCTCCACGCCCCACTCTGGCACGGGTTCCCTGCGGAGCAGACCCCGGCCTGCGCACAAACCACGTTCGTCTTAGGTCGGGCCCGTCCTCCTCTACAAGGGGGTCGTGGAAGAAACATAGAGCATACTCAACAAATACCCCAAAGATGCCCAAACATGCTCAAAACATACTCCCCCGACTATGTTTGATAATTTGGCACATTCCTCCTGTAGAGGGACAGGCCCAACTTAACGCTAGTCACACCTTCCGAATGGCCCTGAGGCCGCGCGGAGGGGGACCTCCTCAAGCCTCTGCGCTCGGGGTTGGGGAAGATCGGGCGTTGGCAGAAACGGGTTTAGTGGGACTTGGTCTGATGATGTGTACTGGGGGGCGCCCCCCCGCCCCGTTCCACTTGCCGGAACTGCCGTCGCCAGAGAAAACACCAACTACGGCAAACCTGGTTTAGTGATTCTTGCCAATTCAGGGGCTCCAGGGCCCTACCAATAACCGGGTCCCCTTACCTGGGGCCCTGGCCATGCCCGAGAAGAGGCCCCCGCCCGAACCCCACGTTCTGGTGTGGGGCAGGTGCGGGTGGGCGGGGCAATGGAACGCGCTTGCGCCCCCGTCGCACAGCGCCTCGTTCGAGTGGGGGGGCGAGGTCACCTCTGGCGCGCCCTGCGAGGGGATGCGCGCTCGCGGTGCTTCCCGCCGAGCCGTCAGCCCCCCCGTGCCTTCGCCCGACCAGCCCAAAAGCCAAGGCAGCGGAGAACATGCATCGATACAGACAGCAAACGGGGAAAAGGGAGGGACAAGGGAGGCAGCACCACAGGTCGAGCACCATGGCTCCACCACGCGCCACGCGCGGACGGGGAGGAGGGAGAGGGGAGGCGGGCACACAGCGTCGACCCCCGTGGCTCCACCGCGCTTCACGCGCCATCCCGCCGGCGACGACTCGCAAACACGCATCATATGATACCGAACCGTGGAGTCGAACCCTCCGCGGTCCAAGTTTGAAGCAGGCAGAAGAGGCGTGAAGCTGGCCAACCCCAGAAAGGCTAGCCGGCGTTCCGCCTCTGGGAAGGAAGAGCGGGAGGAGAGAGACAAGGGGGGAGGATTGCGAATCGTTCTCGAAAAGCTCGGAAGCCGCTGAAGCTGCAGCCGACGTCGACCAAGAAATTGCATGCTGATCTGGCTGCGCGGTGGCCGTTTGAATTGCCGTCGAAACTTTCCGGCATGTTTGGTCTTGGGGGGGCGCGATGCGATTTGTCCGCCCCAAAAGGCGCAACACATGCGCGTTCTTGTGAAACGGAGCTTGCCACGCGGAACATGTGGGCTGTGCCAGCCTATCCGCTGTTCCAGGCGTGCCGACCCATCCACAAACAAGGATACGCCGCACAGTCGAGTCGAAGGATAACATGGCTAGGTTAGCCCCCGAGAGAATTTGACCAGATACTTCAGCCGCTCACAATACTCTGCCTCTCGGCTTGGTGTTGCGCTGGCGTGCGGCGCGTGCAACAATGTATGCCTGGCACAACGCCGTCTAAGAAGCATGCTTCTTAGACGGCGTGTATGCTTCTTAGACGGCGTGTACGCTTCTTAGACGGCACAATGCAGAGACTGCTTCTTAGACGGCGTGTATGCTTCTTAGCCAGAGGCTGCTTCATAGCCAGAGGCTGCTTCTTAGGCGGCGCGCGTGAACGGATGCACATGCAGTGGAAAGCAGGCCAAACTACCCAGCCTGCGCAGCACTCCAAGAAGCAGAGTCGACGTGTTACGGACTCGGCGCGCCGTGGGTGCAGCTGTGTGGCGGTCGAGCGGCCAGGAAACTCAACTGCCCCGTCTCGCGGCTGCAACGCCAGGGAGAGGGGAGGAGGAGGAGGAGGAGGAGGAGGAGGAGGAAGAGGAGGAAGAGGAGGAGGATGAGGAGGATAAGGAAAAGGAGCAAGGAGGAAAAATCGGCTGCAGCCCTATGCAGAGCCCACTCGACGACGGCACCAGGCTAACTGTATGAAGGCGTCCGGCTGCGGGTGTCCCCTCGCGCCTTCCGGCAAATACGAGAGAAGCGCGTGAAGAGCTTTACGCTGCAGGAGAGAGCCCGTCCGCACCGCGGCCTGTGTCCTGTGCGCCGCGTGCACCGTGAGAGCTCGAAGGAGGGTGCAGTGGCAGTCGCGCACCTCTCCCCGCCACCCTTCGCCAAGGCAGCATGTTGAGAAAACGCCCCAATTTGTCCCTGCCCGCTGGGGTCTCCCACCCCGCGTGTCGTCGGGAGAAAAACGCGGTAAATCTCGTACTGGGCATCATGTTCTATACAGTCTGCTCCGCTGTCACGATGGAGTGGACACGGCGCGCGCCCTTGGAAACGCCGCGCCGTGCACCATCCGTTCATAGCCGTGCGGAGGACAGCCGCGGCGACGCGAGGCGTGCAGCGGGCGCTGAGCAGCTGCTTGCCAGTCACCAGCCTCGCAGGGCGGTCGCCAGGCCAGGAGCGTAGCGGCCACCGGTCCAGCCTCCTGCGGGTGTGCGCCATCGCGGCGCCCGAAACTGGCCGCAGCAGTTGCGACGCCTGCCAGTGCCACGTGCTCTTCGCAACCGTTGAGCGGGGACAGGCGGTCCATTGCAACATGTGGTTCTCGCCAAATGTTGCCTCGATGCGGTCAGTAAGGTCACGTTACGCATCAATTGCGGAAGTGTTTTTGTTGGTTGGGAAAAAAAGGAAGTCATAACTTTTCTTGCTTTGCCGAAATTGGGCTCCCGTCGTGCATTTTCCAAACCTTGTGTTTCGACGGCTTGGCATTTTTGCAGCTGATGTCGTGAGGGATGGATCCTTTTCTCATGGGCGTTTTGCGTTACTCGCACGCCAGCAGGACTCTTTCGATGGGGCTTTGGAAATAATGGAACATTAGGTTTGCGGGAACTTATGGAAACAGGACTTGGGGCGAGGGGGTGCGTTGCGGCATCGTTCAAGCATCCTGGGTTTATTCAAACTCCGCCTTCCTCTTCCTTCTGCTCCCTCGTCCCTTCCCATTCCCCACCTCCGTCGAACCCCTCCTTCTCCTGTTCCTCTTCCTCCTCCTCTTTCTCCTCCCCTTCTTATCCTTCAACGCATGTTTCCAAGATGATTTTGATCGTCGTACCACCAAATGTATCGGTAGGTCGGCCCGCGGGTTCTTGGCACCGTATGCCTGCGGCATTTTTATCATGAAAGTTAGGTGCCTCCAAGGGTTCTTCGGATGCTAGGCGGCTCGTGTGTTGAGCGGGATCATCGCGTCAGCGCCGCGCGCATGCATCATGACCGTTGCAAGCGCCGCCGCGAAAGATGAGTGGGCCATTCTCAACATGTTCCTTTTTCTTCAACGGCGCGAAATTTCCAAACCTTGCCCGAGTGCACCCCCTCAACGCCGCGCGCGCTCGTCCGAGACATCGCTACGACGTGGACAGATGGGTGGAGACCGGTACCTTTTCAAAACCGCTGCTGCCACCTGAGAGATCTTCACACCGTCGAATCACAAACTTGCGAATTTCAGCCGTTGCGCGGAAGGACGCCGATTATTTTCCCAAATCTGGTTCCCACCCCCACGTCTTTCTGATAATGCGTTCTGGGCCATATAGCATGAAAGATCCGACAACTAGCGAATGGATGTCTGCGCATAATAATATTTTCACGCAAGGCGTCCTTGCGTGCCACGATTGTGGATATGGATGCTTCACCCACGTGCGGCCGCTCAAACACTTCGCCCGACTGCGCCGCCTGGTCGGTGTCGCTACCATACTGTCGGTATTTTTGTCACGGGTGGCCGCGCTACCCCAGCCCCTCACACCTGATCGGTGGAAAGCGGCCCGCCCTCAGTTTCAGTCCACTACGCCGCGCGGACTGTTCACGCCTCGTGCCAAAGCGCCCGCGGAATTCGGCTCGGAGCTTTCACCTACATGTGCAATTTCCGCTAGGACCCTCGGTGAAAACGTTGGTGTGAGAACCATGCCGGTCCATGGGGCCCTCATTTCTCCAGCGGGTAGTCGCCGCAGCGAAGACGAACACTTGTGTTGACCGGTGAAGGGTGGACTTGGGAAGGGCGGGTCTGCTGCAGCTTCAGCAGAGGATGGGTTTGCTGGACGCCCTCGCGGCGCAACAAAGCCGCGGCAGCTGTGCGCCTGGCGGCACCCAGGCACGGCGAACTCTCCTTGGATCTACGTCTACGTCTACGCTGGATCCCCCACGGGCGCAGTAAAGTGGCGGCAGCTGCGTTCTTGGCCACGCTTCTGCGCGAGGAGGGGAGAGGCGGACTGACATAAGAGAGGCGGCGCTGCTCGTCAGAAACCGAAGACCCAGCACAGACAGGTCGGCGGAACCACCTGTCAGAACCCCTCCCTACTGCTTCCTCCTTGGCCTCCCTTCTCCGACTCTTTTTCTCCTCCTGCGCAAACATCGGCATGTTGCCGTTCGTTGGGTGGGCCTGCTTCTTATGTGCTCCTCAACATTAACACAGTGAGTTAGCTTATGTCGGCTGCACCGACTGAAAAGAGTACTTTGCCCAGGGTGCCCCGGCCAATTATACTGGTTTGCGCAGGCTGCCCTGGTATAGTCAACTAGTACACCCTTGTTGTCTAGGACTGGGGCTACTGTGGCCAGGTCATCAAAAACCTTGGGCCGACTCTGCTGGGAGTGTACCTTTCATGGGCACAGGTGGTAGTCGGCTAAGTTGAGCTTCCTTCGCAGCGGGGGGTCAAACTGGGCGCGCAGAGAACTGGACGCAGAAGGACTAGCGTGCCTAGTTGGGGAATCAATTTATTCGGTGGAGGTGCCTCCGCCCGGGGCAATCGGAGTACATTGCGCCGTCGTTTCCAGACACGCCACGCAGCGCAGAGGTCGCGGCACCGTGGGAAGTCCCGACGGGGCTCCCGATCCAGTCATCCTGCGGCGTTGTTTGACCTGGATCGATCCGCGAGGGTCTGGATCCCACGCAGGACCGCAGTGTTTGACTTAAGTCGGGCATGTCCTCCTACAGGCGGACTTTGGAAAAATTAAACATTGCCGAATAATATTCAATAATGGTCAAAACAACACGACAAATCGTCAACATACTATTTTTTGGCTATTCTTGCATACTCCTCCTGTAGAGGAATATGCCCGACTTGATGCTTGACCTGGCTTCCCACGGCGCGGAAACGGCGGGGCGCACTGCGCCGGCCCGCTGCGCCTCGCCTCGCCTGCCCGCTGCGACTCTCTGGGAGCCGGCGTCGCGAGCAAAATGGAGCCCTCGTGAAAAAATCACGACTGGAGCCCTGGACCCCCTCTTCCTGCGCCACTCTTCGCGCCGGATCGATCAGTGAGGGCCCTGGGGCCGGAGAACGGGGCGGGAACGCCTGGCTCGAAAACACGGAGCCGCCAGGATCTCGAGGCCCGGCTCGCCTGCCATCTCCGCGTGTCCCACGGCCCCGCCTGACCGCTGCGCCTCGGCCTCCTCCCTCTCCTCCTCCTCCTCCTCCATTCCTTCTCCTCCTCCTCCTCCTCCTCCTCTTCTTCCTCCTCCTCCTCCTCCATTCCTTCTCCTGACCACTAGCTTCATCCTGTCGCACCCCAAAACCAGTTTTTAGGGCCGGCTAGGCGTTTCGCCTGACATTTCCTCACCATTTATGGCCCGGAAATTAAAAAATTGGCAACAGTTTCACACATGCAGGGCGGGTGGTCTTCAACATGTGGCTCTCGCCTTTGCGCCGCGCACATTCGTTTTCAAAACTTGTAAGAGTTTCACATATTGAAAGCGGGGGGTTTCAAAATGTAGCTCTCGCCTTAGCGCCGCGCACATTCGTATTCAACATTTGCAAGCGTTTCGCGGATTGAGGGCGGGTGGTTTTCAAAATGTGGCTCTCGCCTTAGCGCCGCGCACATTCGTTTTCAACATCTGCAAGAGTTTCACAGATTGAGGGTGGTTGGTTTTCAAAATGTGGCTCTCGCCTTAGCGCCGCGCACATTCGTTTTCAACATCTGCAAGAGTTTCACGGACTCCCAGGATCGACGTACCAGAAATCGTGTTTAGGAAGAATTCACGATTCTGACGGCGCAACAATTATGATGATTGGCGGTGCTGAAGTCATAGGAATGGCGTTATGGCACGATTCAAGATCGTCAAGACGCAACAGTCAGGTTTATCCGTGGCGTGGGAATGCCGAGAATCATGTTGTGGCATTCTTCAGGGTCGTCAAACGGCTGTCTTCCAACGAGGCAGGGAGCCCTTGCAGGGGCCCATGAAGAGGGAGCTTGGGGGGAGGGCTTCTTCCAACATCGTTGGTGACTCTTGGGTTTACACTGGTCCTCCTCCTTCCCGACTCTCCTCCTCCTCCCCTTCCTCCTCCCCCTCCCCCCCCTCCTCCTCCTCCTCCTCCTCCTTCTCCTCCTCCTCCTCCTCCTCCTCCTCCTCCCCTTCCTCCTCCCCCCTCCTCCTCCTCCTCCTCCCCCTCCCCTTCCTCCTCCCCCTCCCCCCCCGCCTGTCCGCTGTGCGTGAGCTTCGCCTCGGCCTCCGCCCGCTGCGCGTGGCCCGCCGCTCCCCGGGGCCTCCGCTGCCCAGGGGCGGCGGGCCCGCGGGGGCAGCCGCGGGGGGCACCTTGCCGCCCGCCACTCCGAGGCCCATGAGCGCGGCTTGGGGCCCCGAAGCACTGGAGCTAAAACGAGCGTTAAGAGGCACCGAGTCATACCATAGCCGGGCGTCAGAAATCATGCAAATGTGTATGCTCTGTTTTTGGCATGAAGAGAACGAGAGAGAGAGAGGGACAGAGAAAAGGAAATATAAACAGACAGAGAGAGAAACATAGAGAAACGTGTATATATATGTACATGTGTATATATATATATATATATA